ACACCTGAGTGATCCCGAACAACAGGATGGTCAGCAGCACGACTAGCCATGGCGGCCAGCCCCGCTAGTTAACGTGTATCGAATATTCGGGACTATGCAAAAAAAAAAAAAAAAGAGGTGAAAATATTACAAGACGATACACCGTAACAGTCCTTCAATAAGACCTATCAAGTCTACAACAACATACGTACACAACTACAACCAATAAGGACCAAAAAGGTCATTAGTACAGTGATAAAACTTACGTTAAACGAGAGCCCAAAAATCACACCGCCTTCAAGAAAACAAACAAACAAACAAACAAACAACCCACCCAACACCCCCAACAAACAAACAAACAAACAAAACAACACAGATGAATAATAAGCATGCTTGTTTGCTTGACCATGCTTGGGTGGGGATTTGAAAAAAAAGATTGTCTAAAATTTGTCATCCGTACAAAAATCCCCCAAGATGATGCCATGACAGTTTCTAAAGAGTTTTCTTGATTGTAATGATGGTGAGGGGAAATGACCTCCAATGTTCTCCTCTGCTGATGCTTCACTGATTTAAGGGCAAAACCAGTTTGCTCACCAGGAATGAACTTATGGTTGGAAATATGCTAGAGTTCTACAAACGGTAGCAAATTTTAAATCGTCGGACGTTTCGGCAATGCACGTTCAACAATATGTCCTTATTGCAGGAATTGACAATGTCCACCGACATGGGCAGCTTTTTTTTTATAAATCTCAAAGTCGTACAACTCGTACTATCAGCTATCAATACGTAGACAAGATGATTTAGTTCTGTCGCGCATATTATCGTTGTTACCTCGTGTCCTGCAGTTTTCTCGTGTACTGAAATCTGCGCAGAGAACGACAACAGCATACACACGCGTCCCTGATTGTCACTTGCTACCAGGACGAGGGGGCGTGTCTGCTGAAGCTGCGCTTCCAATATCCCCTAAAGCTGCAATAACGAACACGGCAGGTCTTATTAACTTACTAAAGCGGCTACTTTTGAAAAGAAGCCTTAGAAAACGCGATGTCGCCATTAATTACGGACCTTGACTTCTCATGTAGACGGGAACACTGAGATTATTCATTACCGTACATGTTAACCTTTGAAATATCCTACGCTATTTACTTCGTTTCAAAGAAAACCCATCATTAACATTTTCGCTCTTCACTTTCTCTCCAACATATAACCTTCTGAAACCAACAACAAGCCGTGCACAACATAATGGTCAATCTGACCAGACGTAAGTAGCTCGGTTATATTTTCTTGTAGTCTGCCTAACACGTTTACATGGTTTATCATGTCATTTCGACCAAATCTCTTGCCGGACTGGAACTTAAACTCTGTCATTTCAGACACCTAGTAAAATCCCAGTATCATGCCAATTTTTTTTTAATTTTTCTGAATCTTGAGCTAACTGAAAAGGAGATAGCACTCACTACAAAGAAGCAAAATATAAGCTACGGGTGGGGATGAGTCGTCCATTTCGAATTCGTCCAGTTATTTCTCTCCAAGTTTGGTCTTCCTGTCAAGCAAAAGCCGTCGTTGCACCACCAAAGCAGTTTCACATTTACAACTAGTCTAGCTCTCCAAACCCCATAACTCTATGTAATACACACGTGACACGAGCACTGTACACCAAATTCAAAACAAGAATGGATTCATTGCACGTCATCTGACCTCTCTGGAGGTTGTCAAGTGTTTACAAGCTGTATTGTGTTTGAATCGTGCTCGAACTATCAGAACCAAGGTTCAACAGGGATTTTTTTTTAGAAAGAAAGCACTGCTGTCTGAATTACACCTTTTCGTTGCATGTCGAACAATAAAAAATATGCATATGTGACCCGGTACATCATAATCAGGAATAAGTTGCTGAGGCCTTTTTACGTGATGAAGTGGGATGTGGGTAAATGTTGAAACGATGGATGCGACGGTTTCTGTATGTTTTGGAAGTTTTTGTATGAAAAGTTACTATCAACACACTTGTCATGTGTACCACTTGCAAGCTTGTGAAATTCTCTTTCTGACCATATACATATCTTGAAAAGCCAATTGCGACTTATTCCCGATTTCGATGTACCGCGTCACATATCTTTCTGTTTGGTTCGGCATTAATGTTTGTATAGATACTAAAGGTGAAGTGCCCCATAGACTAGACACAAATCTAGGTTCTTTTGAAGTGGAATCAACTGAATATCAATTCAACAGTGCACGTCCATGCTTGTTATCGCAACACACGTGCTGTATATCACGGTTCACACGAGTAAAGTCTGTCCTTTATTACGCGTGGCTCGTTCCCATCTGATTTCGGTATTTCTACTCCTATCAGTAGGCGACCCTTTAGCATCAAGATGGCCAGTCAGAAGTGCATCTCTTCAGTAACAATATTTTATTAAAATAAACACATGAATAGCTCGGGTCTGTCATTTTCAGTTGCTAACCAAGCCAATTCTCCCTTTTTTAAAACAAATACCAATGTTAAATATTTGAAAAGGAAGGTACATAATTAAATCTGTGTTTAAATAAAAATAAAACAAAACATAGACAAATCAAAACAACTGAATGGAAAAACTTGGTAACTTTATTTGTCTATTTATACAATATGTATCATAATATTAACATTAACAGATTATGTATAATCTAGTATATGACTCAATGATTATTTTCATTACAGATGTGCGTGGTGGCATCAGACCAGTGGCGTATCCACGGCGGGGGCGGGAGGCAGGGTGGAAACCTGCCCCACGGATCTTTTAACAAGGGATACTTCACAGGAAAGAAAATAATCGGTAAATTTCTATATGTTTCAAAATAATATTAGCATCAGAACCCCAAGAAAACAACACCATGAAAAAAAAGCAAGGATGTCGGGACTGCGAGTAAGGATTTTGATAATTTTTCCCCAACATTACGTTGAATGAGCCCAAAGTCACATTCACTTTTGAATTTGCCCCCCACCCGACACCGAGAGCAGGATACACCGTTGAATCAGGTGCATTTTCTGAGTTGCTATTTTGGCACCTCCTTAGTTTTGCTGATGATTCCCAAGCCGAGCCGGCTTGGTTATGCAATCCATCTCTATGTCAACAACGTGGTATGCAACACGTGCCTCAGTGAAATGTTATTATTTTATTTCACTGGTGTAATTTATGAAAGAACTATATTTTCCCTAGGGAATGCGAATTTCATGTGTGCATATAGCCATCCTATAATACGCAGAAAGAGTTTTAAACTGGCTTTTGCTCTTACAACGACGTATTACGGGCAAAGCCAAACTTTTAAATTTTCATGCCCGACGTTGACCATTTTTAGCTTCATTGAATTATAAAGAAGCAAATCACACACACAACACTTTCAAAACAACACCGTCCTCCATGTTCCGATTTTGGCATTTCCTGCTAATCCTTCACTTTTTACGTCGCCTCTCTTTTAGTCTCTTATAAAATGCCTCCGCCTTTGTATGTTGCCGGCTTGATGCGCACCTCTTTTCTTTAAGAATGTACTTGTTTTCTGAAAGACTGATTATAGTAATTTACGTTTTATGCCAACAATGTTTTGCTGGGAATTCCTTGTGCCTCAAACGTGCGCCTAAGCACCAAATTAAATCCTAACGACATTCTGCCGGTAATACATAGTGGCATCCTAAAATCAGTAGGACGCAAGCGGAATTTTGTTATGTTAGTAAATTTGCCAACGTCCTTATTCCTAGCAAAAATAATGAATACATCTTCCGTCTCTTTCATTCTGTTAATTAAATCATAATTAAGTTAAGCCCCTTGAAGCGATATATATTTAGTATTCATACCACCGTCTGAAATCAGCCCATCGGATGAAATACTTGAGGAGTGTCCACCCGAAAATGTCCAGGTTTTTCGACCATCTTAAGACCAGAATCCAGTTTTACCATTTTCAAGCCCCCTATGCTGTAACTCTTTATATTAAGAAATGACACATCTGCATATTGTCGGTAGGCCTACGATCAAACAAAGTATTTCATAATTATTGTAGTCACAAGTGGGCATTTTTCAGAATACACTTGATTGAAAACTTGCTCCAAAAATTCTTACAATATTTGAGTCCTTTGAACGAAAATGGCATGATTTTAAGTAATGGAGGAAAACGTACCAGGCATGGCATTCCGTCTTGATGACCTTCTTAAGGTTAACTAGCCTAACACAGGTGAGTTGGTTGTAAATTGGTCTTATAAAGCGCGTAATATTCCTGGTTGTATTGGCCTGAATTGCCAATAACGTGAAGATATATCAACTCAACTAGTGACGAATTTGTGCACAATTTTTGGATAGTTGGCATAATTGGTCTAGAATTCGCCCAAGATATGGCGATATTTTCTTGGCAATGGAGACTCCTTTTGTCAGAACTTAACCTCACTCGTTTACAAACGACTAATGAATGCGTCACGGTCGTATTGCTACCAACAAAATGTCTCTCCTGGCCAACATGGCTCTTTTCAACTGAAGAGGGATGATTCTGCTCGAGGCGGATTAAAACTGTTTATAATACTTCTAGTTAAATTGGCTTCGTTAGTAAAGCATAAATTAATGGTTACCTGGCCTAAGGCCAAAAAAAAAATGTCTCCTGTTCCTGGTCTGCGCGGGCGTCGCCGTAGACCTGCTCACCGCCCCCCCCCAAAGTTTTATTTGGTATAAAACGATGTTCGAAAGTTGCCAAACGTGCTTAATCGCCTGGAATCCTGCTATACTGCGTAATTTTATGTGTTTTTTGTGAAGTAGAGTTTAGTAACATAGTAAAGGAGTCCCCATAGATTTAGTCAAAAGTGAGGTTTAAAAAAAGCCGCGTCGCCGCGCAACTTTGAAGCCGGCTCCTGACCAGATTCAAACAGACACTTTTTTGGGTCTAAGACTGAAACTACTGTAACGGCGAATACCAAAAGCCATCTGCTAAGGTGTTGCAGGCGAGAACAATGAACGTGTTTTTGTTTTGTTTTGTTTTTAGGGTTAGCGGCCTGAAAGTATTCCCACGCTCTCTGTGTTCCAAGCATTGACTGTTAGATTTGTTGATCTAGATCGCTTGCAATACTTGAAACAAACGGTGGCTATGATTACGATGATGATGGCAGCAGCCAAAACTCCAACGACGGAGGACACGATGACGACCGTCGACGAGCTTGAACACACTTGAACTGTCCGGGACCGAAACCAAACAAATGCTAAAATAAATGATCAAGAACAGACCCGCAAAACAACAAAATGGACGGGATGGTTTAAAATATATACCTCGGCACAGCTGCCGTTTTCCAAAAGCTACGGTCACGCTTGACCAAAACTAATAGACATCACGCTACAATGTGAGCAGGGAGAAGTGGCAGATGCAGGAATGTTTGGGTGGGGGTCCAGCTGGAGACTTTTTTTCAAATTAATGTCTCATTTTTGCAGACAAGCGGAAACGATGATGAAACATTATATATGACATGCATTGTTTACAATGCAGTGCAGTCACTTTAGTTCTTCGTGTTATTATTTTCCCCATTTTGTTCTTCTTTTTTTTGGGGGGGGGGTCTCGGGGGGCAAGGTTCGACCCCCAATCCCCTTGATCCGCGCCTGGGAGGGGCGATACACCTTCATTTATGATGCTATATATCTGCCACCTTGCAACTTGCCTCGAAGGTCTCACATCTGGTGACCGCTGGGCTGGCTGTGGTTGCACATGCGTAGTGCATGCGCAGGTTGTTTTCCTGACATCATTACCAGAAATTCGTACAGTCTTCGCTATTGCATGCGCGAACTCATGACAGCAGGGATACATAGTTTGTACAGAGATAGTTTGTAACATTGATGAGGTCATATTCTTGTATACGTTAATAGGAAGTAAATTGCAAATACCCTACATGAAAGGCCAACTCATGAAGTTTTATTTGCCAGAGTTTTGTCAAAAATGTTGACAAAAACTATTTGCACATACTGCCTCTGGATATTTCACTATAGGGGCAATGACATGCTCCTCTCAAGACACTGAAACTGAACAACTCAACTGATTTTCAAGGCCAGTTTTCGTGGAGATAGCCTTCGAGCAGTAAACTTGCAAATAATGCAAAAAGTTTACATGGAGCTTAAATATTTTGCAGGTGGCAACGAATTTTACACTGGACATCCATGGGTAAGAGTTGTTGCATTGATCCGGATTTGGCAATGGGCATATAACGGTGACTGTGTTGACTATGTACGTGAACAAACTACATACACGTGTGTGAGAATTATCATATCATGATTTAGAGGGATGTATTTTTGTATGGTTTGTGTAGCTTGGAGCCCCCTAAATTCACTTGCGAGACTTGAGCCAGTCACGTTCCTGTTACAGTCAGGTAAGCGGAGGCATGTTTCTCATGTTTTACGGTACAGCAGCCTATACTAGTTCACGCCTAGCTACGCAATTTGACATAATGCGCGTGCGCGTAACTACGTACACAGAGCCACCCCTTTTGAATGGGCCTTTTATGGATTTTTGGTAATGATGATCTTTGTGTGACGTCAAATCCAACCTCTTCCTATGGGTACGATCTTACTGCGCCATGTTGGTTCCCACCATGCCTTGCATGATCTAACCCCTGGTACATGAAGACCTACTTTAAATATCCTACTATGGGTGCGTTCGATTAACTTACACGTGTAAGTCAAACTTACACGAGATTGTTTGTTTAGCCGTCACGTGATCTCCGTGCCTGCCCTGGTGTCAGCCACCTGTTGGTGAGCTGGTCTCTGGAGGCTGTCCGAGTGTAATGACGTCACGGATGGACTGTTCGAGCATGGAAATGGTGAAATGTGGCGGGATTTGACCTTTTTCCCAGAATATGCCTTGGTGAATACACTGCAGCGTTCGATCAGCCTCATTTCGAAGCTTCCCTTGCGTGTAACACTGTTGTATTCAGGGAAGCTAATCGAACGCACCCAATTTGGGATATTTAAATTTGGACATCAGTCAGTGTGCTTACGCTTAATGCAGATTTACTCGTGCGTGACATGCAGGAGAATATTTAGGCGCGAGCGTGCAGCTTTTGAGATTGACTTTCTGTTTGTCCGGTTTGTAAGTGACTTCGTCATACACTCACACGCACCACTGATTGCAGGCTTCCATCGGACGAACACTCATGTTGCGCGTTAACTTCCGGTTCCATGGTTGCATGTAACTCTATGTGTAGTGCGCGTGGTTTAAACTGACGTGACGTCACACTTTGATACGAACCGGATGTATAGTCATCCTGAAGCGCCAGTCAGCGCCATTTTCGTAATCAACACGACCAGGGGCTAATGAAGTAACGCACACGCAGCCTATGGAGTCAATGTTGCCTCAAATCCCACAATGTCGTTCTGCTTGAGTAACCACAGCAAGCACATGGAATGGGAATTGGAAGATCCATGGGATGAGATGTGAAATGGCAGATAATAGAACTCTGTAATTATGACAGTGTTCGCAAATGCATATTTGCCCGTTAGTGTTAACAGAAAAGGCAATAGTTTCATAATATTTTGTAATTGTAGTCAAGTGTTGTTATTTCCTTCCTTTTCCAGCACTGTGAAGTAAAATTTTTGACACTTAATATTTTGTAATTTCATAATATTTTGTAATTGTAGTCAAGTGTTGTTATTTCCGTCCTTTTGCCAGCACTGTGAAGTTAAATTTTTGATACTTGATATTTTGCAGCCATGGTTTGTCGACAACTTGAGAGTTTAAGAGCCAATTTGGGGAGACAAAGCGCTCGGTTGTAATGGAGGCAGTTCACATTTCTTACTACCGTGCATTCGTGGATGACAATGTTGTAATCTTTGCACTATCTTTGAAAAAACTCAAACAGACCATGGAAAAAAATATGGAATTAAAACAGTATAAAACTGTTCATGCTACATTATTGCAGTCGACCTTCGTAAAGATTTGGTACTGAAGCACGTGCTATGGTATTCAGGGAAACTGTTTGCAGCAGCTTTGGGGGGATGGAGGTTGTCCTATGAAGCTTCCGTTATGCAGTATTAAACGCTGAATTATGACAGGCCGATTATGATCCTGCGTTGTTTATACATCTTTCAGCGTTTATTTTCCTCTTAATGTGGGAAAGGTTAAAGAGCTCGTGTCCTTTTCTTACGGTGAGGTCTTTACCTTGTCCACCGGAGTCTTCGGCGAATGGTCTAAGTTTCATATCCCACAGGTATACTTTGCCATAACCGCCATCCAGATCTAGCACCAGCTCCTGGTCACACTGGTAGATGTATTTGTAATACACTGTGTTTGGCAGGAGATTGGTACCCTGCTTGAAATCTCCCTCCAACTCTGTGAAATTGTCAGGAAAGAAAGCATCGCGCGTCATTTTTCGTGGACATACCTGTTGTGCAGACTGCCTCAAAGAGCAACTTGACTCCAAGAGGAGATTCAGTCAACAAATACGGAAGACTTCTTTGCATCTGTGCCCCCGTAATTATTATTTCAACGCCTGTATTAATTATCACAAGCTTATGTGAAGAAAAACTGTACACTTGTACTGTCAAAGGGGCTAGGCTACGGGCTTTCGACGACCCCGTCATTTACACAACTTTATGAGCTAGACATAGGCCTCAGACGACAGGTGTTGTACAATAAACATAAATCCAAGACGTTAGATAACAATCTAAACATTAATGAAAATAAATGAAAAAACGATAATTACATTATAACCTAAGTATAACCTTGGGAAAATATCGCCTAAGTCTAGGCATAAGTACATATACATCTAAACGAGCATGATTTTGTGTGTATACTGTAACGAAAGCACACTTTCGTGACAATCTCATGAACTTTTCCAGATTTGCATTGTGTCTTTTGGGGGTTAAAATAGAACCAAAGGGCTCTCTTAAGGAGTCATCTCAAATCTCGTCCGGGATAAGTTGGGGGAAAACTGCGGTAGAGTGTTGCGGTGGAATGTTGAAGGCTGCAGAGATTTTCTCTACAATCTCCCCGCAATGAAGCTATCAGTATTTGTATACACGTTCCTCCCCCCCCCCTCTGCGGTTTTGGCCAGGCAGGCCACTCAAGGACACCTGTGGTTCTGTTGACGGACGAGCCACAGGCAAAGACTGCAAGTCTAAGAACTTCCTCCCTACACAGTTTCATGAAACTGCTTTATCTGTATCACTTGAAATAAATATATTTTGACCCTTATAAAGAATTCAAAGCTTAATTTTTTATCTGGCTGAAAAGCTTTGGTACTTCTTCAGGCTCTTATAACTTTATATGCATTCAATCTGGCGATATTACTGGACAAAAGGCCATGAACAATATGCCCTGTAATTTGTATCTCAAACAATCTCGATATCTTTTTATTAGGAAAAGAAATCTTGGCATAATATAAGGAAGGTTGGGTAGAAAATGTTGATGTCAAATGCTGATCAGACAATTCTGGAACCTTTCAAAAAGTTAAAGTGAATAGTGCATAATGATTGTCCAACGAGAATGTTATTAATTTCAATTAAACTTTGTGCAAGATTGGAAAGCAGCAATAAAAGATCCAGTTCAGTGACCAGTAGAGTGTATAAAAAAATGAGTCATGCCCTAACCTTTTCAGCAGTGTAGTAGGGAGAATAACTCCCATGGGATAAATTCTGATCCCATTAAGGCTGAAGGATAAACTATTAGTGAAAGAATTACAGCCGCTTTCTAGTCTAGATGATGTGGGCAGCCTTGTGGTTGCACAGTGTACATGTATATGCCTCTCTTCCAACCTGTGATGATGTTGTGTTAAAGTGGTCACGCACATGATGGGAAATTTAAGAGCCATTCAAAACAATATCATGTGAATGATATGGAATTTCTTCCCACAGAAAATCTTAAAAGTGCTACAGTAGCCTACCATTAGAGAACTGAAATTTAACTTTTAAATCCTCAAAATAGACTCTGTGTGAACACAAAATATGCACAAAATTAGGGTTACTCGCTGTGTTTTCTTAGTTTAAATCGCTCACTGGAATCATTGAAGTTGTATGGAATGGTTTGTAGTGTGATTGTGGCAATTTTTTATCTGATGGGATGGTAATGGAGTAAGGAAAACGTTCCTCTTATGCAATTAACAAAGTTCTTCAACTCTCTTAACAACACAAAAGATTATGTCATTGTTCCTAAACTGCCTTTTTAAGTGTGTGACTTCCAGCCTACTTAAAATACATTAACATCAGCAGGGATTGTTTTGTTATTGTCTAAAAAAAGCTTGAGTTTAGTGAGTGCTCTTCAAAGTCCCAACTACTGCAGTAGTTTTGAAAGGGTACACAACTTTGGAGCATCACAAGATTTACACACCATGCTTTGCATTGAATTTGAATGGCTATGGATCTTCTTTTGTGGTTTTTTATTTTTTTATGTAATTTTCTATGTTTTTGAGTGGGATATGCATTTCCGAGGATGCGTAATACTGTAAAATTGTTGGTGGTACACTTTTGAAAGTAGAATGTCACATCATGTATTAGCAAAAATGAGAAATGCACAGTTTCAATTTGCAACCAGTCTAATGAAGAAGTGAATGTTTTGATTTGATTTGTTTCTTGGATTTACAATCGAAACAATTTTGTCCAGGTCACTGTTAATTTAACTGTGTTTTTTTTCAATGTAACTTGGTGAGTTAAATTTTTGGTTCATGAAATGAGGCAATTAATTCATAGAACGAGGAAAGTTTGAGTACGT